CTAACAGGCCACAGGAATCCTGGTCCTTGGCCTGGGGCAGTAACTGCAGGGTCAGGGGACATGTGCCTGTCCTGCTCCAGTGGGGAGGCCAGCTTTCCAGACATAGCTGGAAGGGTGCTGGCCCTGGAACTCTCTCTTAATTAGTGAACAGGAACAGGCGGCCTTTGATGTCTTCTGCAGGATGGATTTGAACTCGGGGTTACGCGGCCTGGGCAGACGAGCTCAGGGCCCCTGCTCAGTCCTGGGAAGGCCTCTCTCCCTCTCCTGCTTTAATCCAGTGTTTCATCTGTGACTGGGCTGTTGTCATGGCCTCTTTGGCTTCTGCCACGCCACCCACACGCAGCTGTCACCCTGCTGTGGGCTGTGGCCATGCAGTCACAAGGCCCTGCCCTCCTGCTCTCTGCTGCTGTCATCTGCACCTCTCTGTCCCCAACAAGGAGCTCCGCGTGCTCAGTTTGTATCAGGCCCACAACATGAGGAGCTGGTTTGGGCCCTGGACCAGCATTTCTACATTTACTGGAAACCACTCGAGGTCCCGTGTCTCCTGCAGGTGCCTCTCAGAGCCAGGCTGTCCTCAGTTGCCGCTGCGATGCTCCTCCAGGGGACCCAGAAGGGGACCCAGGGGACCCTGCCCTGCAGCATGTGTTCTCCGCATTTCCTTAGTGTCTCTGACCCAAACCACTCATCTCTGCTCCTGTTCTGAAATGCTGAAGAAGTAAAACTGGGCTGAGAAACCTGGCCAGCCCCTCAGCTGGTCTGATCAGGCTGTGCTCATCTCCTCCCTGCCTTGAAGAGTTGCTGTCTGGCAAGGTTGGGCCGTATTCAATCTTACAGTGATGGTTTTGTAATAATTCCACAGGAAAATCAGATTGATTTTTCCCAGGTAAAAGAAAGTCTTGATGAGTATCATGTCTTGCACCTGTAATCCCAGCCACTCTGGAGGCTGAGGCTGGAGGATTGCTTGAGGATTGCTTGAGGACAGGAGTTTGTGACCAGCCTGGATAACATACTAAGACTCCATATCTAAGAAAAAGAAACTGAGAAAATTAGCTGGGTGTGATAGCAGGTGCCGGTAGTCCCCAATACCTGGGAGTCTGAGGTGGGAGGATCACCTGAGCCTGGGAGTTTGAGCTATGACCACACTACTGCCTCTAGCCTGGGCACAGAGCAAGATCTCATAGATAGAGAGGGAGAGAGGAAAAGAGAGAGGGAGGGAGACCAGGAGAGGGAGAGAGAGAGGGAAAGAGGGAGAGGGAGAGAAAGGAAGGAAGGAGGGAAAGAGGGAGGGCAGGAAGGAAGGGAGGGGGGCAAAGAGAGAAGTTAAGAGTAGAAAGAAGGGAAGAGTAAGGAAGTGTTTTTATGGAGTTTATTCCTGCAGGATATTTTTATGGGGCATCTAATACATGCCAGACAATGTTCTAAGCACGAGGATATGGCACTGAGCAAAGTATTTTCAATTTCTCTCACTGAGCTAATAATATCCCAGTGGGGGACAAGAAAGGGAATGAATAAATATGTCTGTGTAAGATCTGGAGTTCTAGTAAATGATGCAAAGCACTCACCTTGGCCTTCACCTCAGAAGATGTGTATTTATCGTTTATAGCCACCTTAAAGTTTGGTAGGTGGGATGGGAACAGGGCCCTGGGCCTGTCCTAACCATAGCAGAGGAGGACAGCACCTGGCTTGTCAGCCCCTGCCAGGTCCTTTCCAGATGGCTGCTGACATAAAAGGCAGGTTCTGTACAGTTCTCATTACCCAGGAGAACTGAAAACGCATGTCCACGCAAACTCTTGTATGTGGCCACCCACGGCTCCATTATTCAAAACACACACAGAGTAGAGAAGTGGGAACAAATCTGCGTCCATTACCCAGCCTAGGTATGAACAAAGGGGTCTCATCCTACAGAGGAATGTTATTCAGCCATGCAGAGCAATGAAGTGTTGATATGTGAACCTTGGGAGCATGATGCTGAGTGGAGGAACCAGACACACAAGACCACAACTCTGATTCCACTGATAAGAAGTGTCGGCTCGGCGCCTATAGCTCAACCGGCTAAGGCGCCAGCCACGTACACCTAAGGTGGTGGGTTCGAATCCCCAGCCCGGACCCGCCAAACAACAATGACGGCTGCAACCAAAAAATAGCCGGGCGTTGTGGCGGGCGCCTGTGGTCCCAGCTACTTGGGAGGCGGAGGCAGGAGACTCGCTTGAGCCCAGGAGTTGGAGGTTGCTGTGAGCTGTAATGCCACGGCACTCTACCCAGGGGGACAGCTTGAGGCTCTGTCTCAAAAAAAAAAAAAAAAAAAAGAAGTGTCCAGAGCAGCAGATTCTAGCGCGAGGGAGTGGGTGAGCTGCACTGCAGCTGGAGGTGAGGACATGGGGAGTTCATGGCACAGGGCTTCTTTCTGGGGCAATGGAGGTGTCTGAAATTAGGGAATGGTGATGTTTTCACAACATTGAGAATATGGTAAAAGCCACGGAGTTGTGGCAAATCTTACATGGTGGGAATTATCTCCATTAAGTTGTCATAGCAAATGTTGGTATCACCCTCTGTCTGAAGGTGAGGATCTTATGAAGAATGAATGAAATAATGCATATCGTTATTCTTTCTTTCTTCTTTTCTTTTTTGAGACAGAGTCTCACTGTGTCTCCCAGGTTAGAGTGCTGTGGCATCACAGCTCATAGCAACCTCAAACTCCTGGGCTCAAGTGATCCTCCTACCTCAGCCTCCCAAGTAGCTGAGGCTACAGGTGCCACCACAATGCCTGGCTAGTTTTTTTTATTTTTGGTAGAGATGGGATCTCACTCTTGCTTGGGTTGGTTTCAAACTCCTGATCCCTTGGCCACCCAGAGTGCTGGGATTATAGGTGTGAGCTGCTGTGCCTGGCTGAAATAATGCCTGTTAGTACAGCCTGGTACCTGGGACTCCGTGGGTGCTCAGCTGAGGGCTGTTGCTGTTGCTGTCAGGGAAAGCTGCTCAGACACCAGCCAGCTGGAGCTCCTGCTCTCTCCCTGACACGTCTCTAGAATGCTGGCTGTCACTAGCACGTGGTCAGTGGTACTTGCTGAGTGAGCCTGGTGGGTTCACCTGGACAGTTTGTCCACACCCTGGGCCTGGTGCTCCTTGGTGTCTCTTGTGGCTCTGCGTCCCGGTGTCTGCACCGGTGGGGCCTGTGCTGGAGCTTCTCATCTGGTGGTGGTGATCGAGTGTCATGGAGTACTTCACAGCCCATATTTCGGTACTTAAGTTGGGGTTAGTGTAGGGTGACCAGACTGGCCCGTTTTTGAACAATTTGTCCTGGTCCTGCGGCATTTTAAAAAAGTCCCGATTTTTGGGAAGAATGCACGAACGGGCAGGAGAACAGGAAGGGAATATACAGCTGCCATGTGGCTATTTAGCCAGAATATGAGTTTTATATTATTTTTGTTAATTTTATAATGTTAAACTCTAATAATAACAAATAATTGTTGAGAAGTGATTATCAAGAACTGCTTATCAAAGTTTGCATTGTTGTCAGGCCCTGCCCTGCCCCTCCCCCCAGCCATGTTGTCCCGCTTAATAAAGGTTAAAATCTGGTCCCCCTAGGTTAGTGGCATAAGTTCAGATGCAGAAGCATGTGGAGAAACAGAAAGTGGGTCAAGAGATTCTTGAGCTTTTGTCCAGTAATACAATTCTGCTTCCCGGGGACTGACCCCACCGATGTTTTGTTTTGTATATTTGTTTATGCAGGACAGCAGAACATACAAAATGAAAATAACACACAAAAAACACTGGTAGGGTCAGTTTGTGACCCTGCCTTTGAGATTTGACTTTTGTGGCCTATGGCGAATGTGCTTTCAAAAAGTTCATTATTAGTTTCCTGGAGAGCAGAGGATACCATTTTTGTTTAGAAAAAATCAGTTCCTAAAAATGTATAGATTTAAACTGATAATTTTTTCTGTTGAGCCCAACTTAACAATTTCTGCATATGAGGCTAGAGGCAGTAGCTCATGCCTGTATCCTAGCATACTGGGAGGTCAAGGTGGGTGGATTGCTTGAGTTTATGAGTGGGAGACCAGCCTGAGCAAGAGCAAGACTCCATCTCTACTAAAAATAGAAAAATCAGCCAGGGTGGTGGCAGACACCTTATAGTCCTAGCGACTTGGATGGCTGAGGCAGGAGGATCACTTGAGCCCAGGAGTTTAAAGTTGCTGTGAACTGTGATGATGCCGTGGCACTCTACCAAGGACACAGAGTGAGACTCTGTCTCATAAAGAAAAAAAAATCCATATATGTGAAATTGTTATTTCAAATTAAGATAGAGGTGGTTTTACTCTGAGTTTTTTAAAAAATTCATTATTTTATGAACTTGGCAACCCACTGATAATACTGAGTTGCCTTCAAGGCTGTGTCAGTGAGGTGCTGTCTGCGTCTGCTGGGGCTCCTGAGAACCTTCAAGGCTGTGTCAGTGAGGTGCTGCCTTTGTCTGCTGGGGGTCATGGAAAGAAGCGTGGTTGTTATTTGATTATGCACTGTTGTTTTCTGTTTATCACTGGAACTCTTCCTCATCTCCATGCTGGTGGCTGGGGACAGCCCCTGGTTGCTGTTGAGGGCCCAGCGCCGCTCGGGGCTCATCCCTGGACTTGGACGTGAGCAGGACTCTTTCTCCACCGTAGAGGCCACCCTGCATCCATGGCTCTGACCGAGTTTCCTACTTTTACTTTCTCTTGCCCAGTTTGTGTGTTTCCCTCCCTACTTCTTTCTCTCCTTCCTTCCTTTTTTGGCTGTGCACCTCAAGAGCCACTTTTATAATTCCTTAGAAGACAAATGGGTTAAATCATCAACAGTGCTGCCCTGATTGAAGTCAACATATTAAACGTAACAATGTCTATCTGCAACTACCTATAAATTTGCCCCAGAGCAGGGAGGGTGAGAGAGAATGTAAAACTGTCACAAAAGAGGTTTTTGTTGTTTTGTTTTGGAAGCTTTGTTGAATGTGTCTGTTTTTGGTTTTTTAACAGAAGTTGGTGACTTGGCAAAGCAGCACATAGAGAAAGGTCTTCTGGTTCCAGATCACGTGATCACACGTCTGATGATGTCGGAGCTGGAGCAGAGGCGCGGCCAACACTGGCTACTGGACGGTGAGTGGAATTTTCTGTGTGCTGGGTTTCTGGGACCAGCTGTGGTCGGCTCATACTCCCTGAATTTCTTTCCAACTAGAAAATGCCTCTTTTTCTAAATTTATGTCACTTGTTTGGTATTCTCTATGGTCACATGATAGAGGCCCCCTGTGGGGTCTTATAGTCTTAGCTTTTCTGTCCCACACTGTCCTTGCAACAGCTGGGAACTTGGAGCAGGCCCTTGCCATCCCATGGCACCTCCTGTTTTCCCGGCTCCAGCGTCTGAAGTGTTGCTCACTGGCAGGCAGAGGTCCTTTCAATGTGCACAGGCCATCTGGAGTGGAGCTGTGAGTCGTCCTCATTCACCTGTCGGGTTAACTTGGCATATATAGAGAACACGTATTTTGAGAATATAAAATGGGCAATCTTTGGAGACCAGTTTAGCAACATATACACTTTTCAGCCAGCAAGTCTGTTCTCAATTTCTACCTACAGATGCAAGGATGTTTTATTAATCCAGCTCTGTCAGCAAATAGGAAGACACTGTCCTTGCTTGTAAGGGGGACGTGGCTGTGTGAAGAAGTGCAGAGAGTTCCTGACACTGCACGAGACGCAGACACGTGTGGTGCCTCACCCATACCTGGTGCCAGACTGAGGATATAAAGGAGGAAATTACCTGTTCTGTTAGTGGGAGGAGGCATTGGAACTTTATGAACACTGGGGAATGGATGGATATGCCTTGGAGGGGGCACATGGAAGTAGGGAGGGTGGATTTTGGGGGTGGGGGCAGAGGTGCAAGTCAAACAGTGTAGGAGGTAGGAGTGGAATAACTTAGCCTAGTGTTTTTCTGAGCCTGTAAGCAGAGGTTGGCAGGGCATAAACGGGGGCGGATAGCTTCTGACTCTATACAAAGGTGATGGAACTGCGAATTATAGGCTGTAGGGACCAGTGAGAGCTATTAGATGAGGCACACGGTCAGATTTGTCTTCCAGAGAAGCTCCACTTGCTGTGGGAGAGAGCAGGTGCCGGGCAGGCGGAGGGTGGTGACTGCAGACCACGGAGGACATTGTGGGGTACCTAGACTCAGGATGTCACAGGCCTGAATGTGAGCTCAGGCAGTGGGTGGGAAGGAGACATCAGTCCTGAGTTATGGGCACTCTGCCCAACATTACTTACCGAAGCCCTGGGCTGTCTTTCATGACAGATGTTCACCATACCCCCCACTTCCCCACGCTAATTTCTCTAGACCTTACATTTAACTCAACAAAATTTATCCCCCTGTCGTACTCTGTTCTGCTGCTATAACAGGGGACCTCTGACTTGGTAAATATAGAAAAGGATTATTTCTCAAAGGAAGTCTGAGACTGTAGTGCCAGGTGTGGTGCTGCGTGGTGTGACAAGGCACACACGTGTCACAGCACAGGGGCAGTGGAGGCCAGATGCATCTTTTGTTGGGAGGCTGCTCTAACCAGTCCCTCCCTGCACAATGGTGCTGATCTATTCATGGAGGGGGGGAGCCCTCGTGACCTAATGACATCTTGAAGGCCCCATTCCCAGCACTGTTGGGCAAATGTCAGCGTGAGTTTTGGGGGGACATCCACATATTCCCTGTGTGGGGCATTTCTTGTGACTGATAAATTTGGGCTTTGCAACTACCTAATGGAAATTTCTCTAGTTTAAATTCTTTTTTTTTTTTTGAGATAGGAGCCTCAAGCTGTCCCCCTGGGCAGAGTGCCATGGCATCTCAGCTCACAGCAACCTTCAACTCCTGGGCTCAAGCGAGTCTCCTGCCTCCACCTCCCAAGTAGCTGGGACCACAGGCACCCACCACAACGTCTGGTTTTTTTTTTTTTTTTTTTGGTTGCAGCCATCATTGTTGTTTGGTGGGCCCAGGCTGGATTCGAACCCACCACCTTGGGTGTACATGGCTGGCGCCTTAGCCACTTGAGCCACAGGTGCTGAGCCAAATTCTTTAGTTGTAGGGCTTCTCTTTTTTTTTTTTTTTTTGGCTCAGGCTGCGTTTGAACCCTCCACCTCTGGCATATGGGACTGGCGCCCTACCCTTTTGAGCTACAGGTGCCACCAGGGTTTCTCTTCTTACAAAATGAATTTGTATAGTCTTTGTGAACTTAAAAAATCTGTGTTAGAAAAGACTCATCTGTGCTAAACTCCTTTGGAAGGAGGGCTAGCGTAATAGTGATTGGGAGCACGGCCAGGGGCCCTTGCCTGGTTTACCACCTGCTGGCAGTGTGTGCAGCCTTAGTGGGAACCTCAATTCTGTCTGATTGAAAGTTAGTTAGAAGGGAGTTTTGTTCCGGTGGTGTGAGTATGTGAGACATGCTTTGAAGGATGGCTGGCCTATACAGCGGATGCTGTTTGTTGGGTGTTGGGAGGGTCCTGAATTTTTAGGGATGACCATTTTTGAAGTGTTAAGTTCAAAAATACTTTAAAAATATTTAGCCATGTAGAGCTGAAAGGTCTGTTTCAGTGTTTCAGTGCACATAAAAAAAGTTTTATGTGCCTTTCCAGGGCTTTCTTTGCTGTGATCATCCCTCTCAGGGCCGAATGACCCAAGCTCTATGACGTCACCACCTGTTTTTAGTGAACTGCGTCAGTGTCTCAGAAATGACTTAGTTTGTTTTTCTCCTTTAAAGCCCATCTGGTCACTTTTTCAGTTGCAATTTTTCTTTAAAGCTCTGGAATGAATCCATTTGGCAAAGTGTGGTATGTGAGGAGTGCCTGGCTCCCGTGTTCTGCTTTAAACAACTCTTGTCACACAGATGCATGCCTGCTGGGGTGCCCTGCCGAGGTCGAGGGAGGATTCTGGGTGACAGATGACTCATCCCTTGGTCCATATGGCTGAAGTGAGGCCTCCTGCGAATCCCAGGTGAAGATGAGCAGAGCTAGTCCCAGCTCTGCCCAGCTCCATCCTCCCTGTAACAAGCTTGGCACTCCTTTGCCTGCACAGTGCTTGCCAGTTGGGTAAAACATTTTCTTGTGTGTGTTACCGTGTGCACGTGTGTGGTGTGGATGGAGAGGGTGTCTTGCTCTCCCAGCCCCGTTTCCCTTTCTCTCTCTTTTATTTCCTTGGAAGTTTAATATGTCAGTGACAGTTTTTAAAGTTAATTTCCCTTAATTTTTAAAGACAAATATTCCACTAGAAGATGGTGATGCACAAGCCTTCTATTTTGTTATAAGCCATGGATTTGCTTTTTAAGTTTTATGGAGAAGGTGTTTGCTGCTTTCCAGGTGGTCCTGAAGTGAAATAATAACTAGAGATCAATAATCAGCTATTTGAAATAAGTACAAGTTCTTCCCTTTTTACAAGACGGCGGCCAGTAAGGCAGGACTACAGAGAGAGGTGTGTTAGTAACTGTGTTTCTCATTTCCAAACTTGACTGCTGGCTGGTACATTTAAATAGCAGCCTACACGTTCTACAACTGAATTCTAATTTAGCTCCACAGACCAAGATGTAATTTAATTACCTGCCATATGATTTTAGGTGTAGCTGTCAGAGTATTTTAAATTTTGTGTCAAAGTTTGGTTTCATAGCATGTGGCCTTAAATTTTAGAATTATAACCTCTTCATTAGGTTCATTATAAACCACTTCATTAGAAATAATCGTGCCTCGGTGGCACCTGTAGCTCAGTGGGTAGGGCTCTGGCCACATACACCCAGGCTGGCGGGTTCGAACCTGGCCCAGGCCAGCTAAAACAACAATGATAACTACAAATAAATAAATAAATAAATAAGTAGCTGGGCACTGTGATGGGCACCTGTAGTCCTATCTATCTGGGAGGCTGAGGCAAGAGAATTGCTGAGGGTTTGAGGTTGCTATGAACTGTGATGGCACAGTATTCTATTCAGGGTGACAGCTTGAGAATGTTTCCCAAAAAATAAATAAATAAATAATGATGCCTTTAGCATCAGAGTTGTCATCTGGTCCATGGTTCTGCTAATGGTTTTCTTCTGAGTGGTGTGAGCACTCACAGTGCTTTCTGAAGGTGACTCTGTTTTGTTTGGGGTTTGTTACCAGAAGTCTCAGCTCCTGAGTGTGGGCAGGGTCTGTGTGTGTTTTCCCCGAGAGCAAGTGATCTCTGATGAGATACTCACCCAGAGCCCTGGGTGGCCAAGTTAAAGGGTATATGTCTAGAAACTCAACTACAGCTATTGGAGCCAAAGTGTTTTGCCCTGATTTGCAAGTGTGTTTACTGTACTAGACTGGTACGTGACTGCTCCGACCTCGTCCCCTCCAGATTTTTCTTTCTGAATCATAGCTCTGAGGAGTGTCACATCCCACTGGGCAGCATATGTCTACAGAAAAAAAAGAAAAACAGACGGTGCCTTCTGAATTTCTTCTTTTTGGAAATGCCAAGGCTAATCTTTTTCTGTTACCCTTGTATGTTTCCAGAATAAAATGTATGCTTTGTTTAGAGGTCACTGAAGAATTCTCTTTGTATAAAAGTGAACCAGACTTTTCTCTTTCTCTGTGTAAGAGGGTAAAAATAGATTATCTTAGTATTTTATCATCTAATGTTTAGTCCTGAAAAATTACTGTCAGATAACCTTTCTGTCTTAGATCATCAGTAAGCCAGTGGGGCATACTCTGGTGTTTTGAATGGAAGTGATACCGGATTTTTAACACTGGATTTCCAGGCTCTTGGTCTCAACGATTCGATGAATGAAATCGATAGACCATAGAACGAACAGTGAGGTTTTATTTACAGCTCAAAGAACCAAACCTCCTTGCAGGGCAGGATATGAGTGTTACAACTCTTATGAAAAGAACTCTTACAAAGGGCCAAGCCTCTTTGTAGGGCAGGATCAGCAGCGGAAGTGTTACAGCTACAGCTCTTACGAAGGACCAAGCCTCTTTGCAGGGCAGAGATCAGCAAAGGGCAAAGCCTCTTTGTAAGGCGGAATCGGAGGTGTTACAGCTACAGCTCTTACAAAGGACCAAGCCTCTTTGCAGGGCAGAGATCAGCAAAGGGCCAAGCCTCTTTGTAAGGC